CCTTGTAGTCCATCTGTTCGGAGCAGTTGAAGACGTAGACCATCATGCCGAGGGCGCGGCCGAGGTCCTTCGTCGTCTCGGTCTTACCCGTTCCCGCAGGCCCCGAGGGAGCGCCGCCCATCACCAGGTGCAGCGACTGACGAGAGACACGAGAAAAAATGAGCTTCGGGGGCGGTAGGGCAAGAAATCGGAATGGACGCTGGGATAGCTGTGTATCTGACAGTGGGAGAAAGGGGGGGAGAGAGAGAGAGAGAGAGAGAGAGAGAGAGAGAGAGAGAGAGAGAGAGAGAGAGAGAGAGAGAGAGAGAGTAAAGGAGAGAGCGAAAGAAAGAGAAAGACACACAGAGAGAGAGAGAGAGAGAGAGAGGGAGAGAGTAAAGGAGAGAGCGAAAGAAAGAGAAAGACAGAGAGAGAGAGAGAGAGAGAGAGAGAACCCACATAATACGTGAATCACCTGCGTGAGGGTGATGTAGCAGCGGTCCGTGAGCGGCGTGATGACGAGGCGCGGCGTGTTGCCCAGGTACTCGTGGTCGTACTTCATGCGGGCGTCGCAGATGTCCATGAAGCAGTCGGCCTCCTCCTCGTCCCACCTGTCGGGCATTGGGCGTTTGTGTTAAGGGCACCTGTCTCGGGTTTCATTGAATGTTTTGTTTAATGCAGTACTTTTTTCAGAAAATAGGCTCACCTTTTCTGAAGCCGAGAACTACACCATTAACGTTCATCCCATAACGTCTGACTACACCTTTTCCCAGCTGCAACAGCCTCTATTTTCTTCACCTGGCAGTTCCGCGCGAGGGAGTGACCCACCTGTGGCGCAGCTGCGACTGCCACGCGAACTCCGCCGCCGACTCCACCTTGCCGCTGATGAGCCTCCCGACCACGTCTCGCGCGTGGACGTCGATGGTGCAGATGGTCATGATCTTCTGGCGCTGCTGCCGCGTCAGCTCCCCCAGCAGAAGGGAGATGAGCGCGTTCAACTGTTGCACCTAATGGCCAATGAAACGAAATATACTGTATTGCTAAACTGGCCATCAAAAACCAAGACGTTATGAAATATACGAGATTTTCCAATTGTTAAGCATACCATGTACAAAATATCTCCTATCCTCACCTGCTTGCGGTAATAATCTCTAAGGGCATTCTCGTAGCCCTCTTCCAGACGAGCAAACGCAGCAGTTACTTCCACGGTCCAGTAGATCTGTGTGCCTGTAAGTGCCACCTGTTTGCAAAGGAAAATCGCGTTTTAGCGACTTTGAAGATGGTTTACGCCATTCAGTTCAGCAAACTTCTGTTTTTCATAGTTTATACTTGGCGGTCAATCGGGGATTTATTTTAATTGATCGTATATTGTTTTTGATGTGGAAGTCTAAATATAAACATAAGTCTTTACAGTTTTGTGCAATCCATAGCGTTTATTAATATCTTTAATTTACGAATAGATAAAAAAAGACAATTACAACAGATCCTCAATGTCATGACCAGGAATCTACTGAGGGACGAGTGCCCATCGGTCCGGTTCATTTGGCGAAATCCCAGCGAAACGGCTGGAGGAACGGACAAAATTCCTCGAAAGCGAATGGATACAGCGAAGCAATGGGCGGTGTAGCCGCAGCTTATTTTCGTAATTGGCCAAATGCTTTCCAGTTATGAGTATGACAAAAAAAAACACTAGACAGGTTATCTGAAAAACATAGGAATAACAACAGCCATTCCGCGCACGCCCTCACCTGCGCCGGGTAGTCGTCGACCCACTGCTCTCGAGGGCGGTCCTCGTAGGCGGCCACGGCGTCGGTGAGCCGCGCCCTCACGGTGGCGCGCATCACCTGCAGGACGCTCATCAACCACTTCTCCACCTGAGGCGTGACACAGGGCGGTTAAAACGCTCAGCATTTTCCTTTGGAGGATAATCGTCAAGATTCTTGTTACACGAGCATTAGAAATTTCAGTGACGAACGTGCTGTGACGTCAGACTGCTACTCACGGGTCCGACACAGTTGGTGCTGTTGCAGAAGGGGACGAACTCGCCGTCTTTGGCCGTCATTCCGACTGCCGTGGTAGCGGCGCTGTCCTCGCCCTCGGCGAACTTGAGGATCGCAATGCTGTCGAATAACTTGGTGAGGTGCCTAAAAAGAAGTGAAAAAAAGTTAAACTAAGAAATATCCTTTTCTCTCTCTCTCTCTCTCTCTCTCTCTCTCTCTCTCTCTCTCTCTGTCTCTCTCTCTCTCTCTCTCTCTCCCTCTCTCCCTCCCTTTCTCTCTCTCTCTCTCTCTCTCTCTCTCTTTCTTTCTTTCTGTGTTTGTGTGTGCGTGTGTGTGTGTGTGTTTGTGTGCGTGTCTGTGTGTTTGTATATATATAGATATAGATATATAGATTGTTCACATATCTGTTCCATTTCACTTTTTCTTGTCCTCCCTTCTTCTCTATTTTCTCCTCCCCTCCCTCTCGCCCAGTTCTTAACTTAAACGAAACTTTATGATTTTACTTGGTGACTTTGACGGGCTGGTTGCCGTTGGAGAGGATGTCGAGCAGGTCGGCAGTAGACACGAAGTAGAACCTGGGGAAGGCCAAGCGCTTCGTCTCCAGGTACTCGGCCAGCGTCTTCTCGCACAGCGTCAATTCCGCCTGCAGCGCCTCCAGCCGCTGGTAGAGGCCCTTGCGGTTCGTGGCGTTCAGCACGTGCGGGTTCGCCACCATTTCTGACACCAGTTCCTGAAGGGGATGCGATCGCGTTGAAAAGCGTCTCTAAGGACTGTAGTTTCGATAATGCTCACGGGCTTTTCCGGATGCAGACGGATTGCCTTTACCGCACAAGCGCCTTACAAGCATCCAGCAAGGGACATCGCCTTGAACTCACCTTGAAGTCAATGTCGATCTGGTCAAACCTGGCCGAGTCTTCGGGCAGCTGCCGCCTGATGTCGTCCGACCCGATGAAGATCGACTCCAGGTGGCTCCAGGTGCGCTGGACCTCGAACCTGGGGGAGAGGAGGGCTTGGTGAACAACGAGTCGCGGAGGCATTCGTATGAAGGATCGAATGTCATCTATAGAAGCTGGTCTTATCAGTCCTACAGTTTACACTTCTGTTTGTTTATCCCACCATTACTAACCAGAGAGTGATGACCTGGTCGGCGATGGACAGTTTGTTCTGCCAAGCTGACACCTCATCAAGGAAGTGTTCAATATACTTCGATGTCATAAGATTCTGGAGTTGGACCTGTGGAACAAAAAAATTCGTTTATAAGAATACACAGTCTTGCATCCCTCTTTTTCACCCTCTTTCCAGCTATCCCATCCACCCCCTTCACCTGATTTTCCTCGAGCGTCTCGATCATCTCCTCCGAAGTGCGAACGAGGTCGACGCCCGTGCGAGGATGCGTGTCCACCAGGAATTCCATGGTTGACCAGGTCATGTCCAGTTCCTGAAACACATCGTTATTCGTAGTTAGATCATACGAAAATAAACCAGGCATTGTTTGGAGAGGGAATGGAGAAGAAACAGAGTATTGCTATACTAACCTTGATAATCTTCTCCATGGACATTTCCTTGACTGCCTTGTCGACTATGTTTTTAACCTCGTCCTCGTGCATGTGGAGGTTGAGTTCGAGTAAGTCCGCTAAGGTTGTTTCCGGATTATCCACGAAGTTCGCCTGCAAATTTGACAGGAAGGATTTAAGTTCGAGTGTTTAAGTTTATCATTTTAATTAATTTTCATTTCTATATATCAACTATTTCATTTTTTTCTATTTACTTTGCACTATCATGATTTCAGTTTATTTTTCGCTGTCTTATCGTCTTTCTTTTCCTTTTCCCACCCTCCCCCCTATTTTCTTTACCCTCCTCCCCTCATCCTCTCACCACGAATGCCGCCGTGGATGTGCTGTCCGCCTTCTTTGTCGCCACGAGGAGCTGTCCCCAGTGGCGTTCCCTCAGCGACGGGTTCTGCAGCTCGGCCACCGCCCTCAGCGACGTCAGCATGTTCTTCACGGTGGAGTCCAGATTCACGTAGGCGTCCCACACCCGCATCTCTTTGTCGAGAGCTGCAAGATGAATGCCAACGTGAGCGGAGACGAGTCGGTTTATAATATAGATAAAAAGGTATGTTGTGTTTGGGACACATTTCTTTGATGTTGTTATAAGGTTCTCGTGTCCTCTCACCTCTGATGTCTTTCGCGAACTTCTTGCACTCGATGTCCATGTTCTCTACGTCCACCTCCCTCCAGGGGGTCGTCTTCCAGTGGTTGATGCAGGCTCGCACGAGAGAGATGTGATCCCAGAGTTGCTGAAGAATTCCACAGAAATGATTACGCGTAAATATCGTTTCGTTAATCTGTTATATATCGGATGACTTTTAAATACTTATTTTCGTATGCCCCTCATAGACTCTTTGATCTTGTGAAGCCCATACCTTGAGCATCCTCAGCTCCTTCCTGCAGGACTTCATGTGCTTGAACTCGGGAATGACGACCTCGAAGAGCATGGCAGACTCCTGCAGCTGGTGCATCTCCTCCTCCAGCCGCCTTACTCTCGCGTTTACTTTTTCCAGGCGCCAGTAGGGCATCTCACAATCGTAGCTGAGAAGGGAACTTGGTCATTAGGAGCCAAAGAATGACTAAGGAAAATGATGTACGTATATTACTTGTTAAAAATTTAAGAGATAACACGCTTAGTTATGAAAGACAATTTCAATGTGTGTGTGTATGTGTGTGTCTAAAAATGGTCCACATTGCGAAAGAGGAACTGAGACGTACTTGAAAAACGAATACTGCCTGAACTTCTCCCTGTAAATATTTTGCCTTGTTTCGAACTTGACGCATTTCTTCCTAATGACCGAAACTTCATTGGCCTTGAGAGGCGCCACGTGCTGCCGGATGAGGTCGCACTGCTTCTTCAGGGACTCCCACTGCTCAGGCAGCTCCTGGTGGCGGGACATGGGTTTAGGGCAGCATTCTTCAAAGTATGGGTTGCGATCCAGTACTGGATTGCAGCCATATGGTTAATGGG